ACAGCTGACCTTGGCCAAGCAGCGCTCGTCCTCCTGTTTGTTTTCTCGCTCGTTACTGTCGAGCGGATACTTGTAGCGCGGAAACGACGCGATCGGCCAGTCGAAAGACGGCACGTCGATCTTGTGGATGTACTTGCTGTGGGTCGTCGACAGAGAGCCGAGGGTCCGCCCGTGAAAAGCCCCTGCAAGAATATACAACTTGTTGCAAAAAACAAATCGCTTTCTCCTTCTTACCGATATTTTCGGACAGGGAGATCGGTACATACGAGATGATGGAAAAAACTGCGGGGTATAACGATCAAAGAGTTTTTAAACTCTTTCTCTAAGGAAATCATATTTATTTATTTTTTTTTTATCACACGTGCATCAAATAAAACCAGCAGCGAACGAAAAATATCGCGGGAGGAGGAGCTCCCCATTTGCTCTCTGGGCATGAATAATGTATGAGTGTTGTGAAATTTCGCGTGTACTATATATTTGTATGCGCATATTGATGAAGACACGAGTGAAGCGGTGGAGCTCGAAATTAAAAAAAAGGCTACAGGTTTTTCGATGAAACGTGTGTACATGTACATCGTGGGAATCGGTTATTATTATTTTTATCGTTAAACTTGACACGCGCGTTCAAAAGGAAGGGTCAACCTATAAGGAGGGAAGAAATAAGGAAAAAAAAAAAAAATTGCGTCGTGATACCCTCGAAGGACATGATGGAGTATCGGGGCGAGCCGGGCACTTGGTTGAACATGCAGCTTTCGATCTCTTGCTTGGTAAACGGAGCCCCGTGTCTCTGCTTGTCGGCGTACCAGATGAATATGTTTTTGAACGAGTTCTCGTTCGAGCAGGAGCCGCACATCATCGTCGTTATGTGCGAGAAACCGGGTGGTGCCACCTTCAACCCAATTACAATGCCATTCAGATTATTTTATTTTATTTTTATTTTTTTGTACACATAAACGTAAATTTGATCGTGATAGTCGCTTGATGGTTGTGTTTAGTTATCATATTGAATACAGTTATTGTATATTTTTTGAACCCTATTTTTGAACAGTACCCACATTTTATATGTGTAAAATGCACTCGCGTTTCCACTCAGTTTCGTTCAAATTAATATTTATAAAATAAGTACAGATGATCTTCAATTTACCTCGGGACCGAAAGTTTTCGGATATTCTCGGATAAATGTATTGTTCCGAAATAGGATTCAGGAAGAATATGGTATCAGTAGTTTGTGGGTGGATTCCGTCATGAGAATGTTGTGAAGGGGATGAAAAAAATCGACCATAGCACTCATTGTTAGAGGAAATACTACAGAGTAGCCAACAAACAATGAAAAACTATAAACACATCGTCAAACACACACGCCTCAAAACACTTCTTGTTGAGGCGATGGATTGTAGCGTAGTTTTCTTTTTTTGTTGTATTCTTGTAGTTGTGTATTGTTAATAAAGTATTTAGGCAATCAATTTTTCGAGCACAATTTGACCATCACTCTATGTTATAGCTATAGCTAAATTAGACGCAATCTTTCAACAAAAAATGAGATTTGATTTTTTTTTAAACAAATTTACGATGGTCCCATTATTTGTCAGAGGTAAAAGAAAAGTGTATTTCAATGCTTGTGTTGTATGAAAAACAAAAAACTCACTCCTTTCCTGAGCAAAACTTTTTTCATTTTTTCCGGCCAATCCCGATTGGGAAACACCCCGAGGGCAGGTCGATTGGCTATCATTTTCTGCAAAAAAACCATACATATTAAACTATAAACTATACATTTGTTTTCATTTTTTTTTTTTCCATCATTTTAAGCAATATAAATGTACACAATAACCCACGCAAAATTTTCGTTTGAACGATGGTTGTGCTTCGCGGTTAATTGATTAATTATGTTGTTGAAACTTTCTAGATTATTACTTAGCAATATTCATCAAATTTAGACAAAAATTTGGTGCATTGAAAAAATACTTTTTTTATTGTATTTGATCCAAAGATCATCAGTTTTTGTTTTTTTCACACATAAAAGTAAACAAATTTTTTATTTGCGAACTTTGCATGTTTGTGTGTGCACACAGTGTGCCACTTGCTCAACATCTAGCAAATCAAGCTACTCAATAATAAGTGATATGTGTAAGAAAGATCCTCGAACGATTAATTTTTCTGTGGTAGCTTTTTCGATAAACGCCAAATTTCAGTGTCTTCGATTTATCTCTGATACTTAAATCAATGGCCAATCAAAACACAGAAAACACGGCAAACGTATCGCAAAACGTTTCACAAAAAACATTGTTTTAGCAAATTTATTAAGTATTACAGTAAAAATGAAGTTGTAATAACGTTGCAAGAAACGCTGGGAGATGGTTGAAAATAACTTCTACACTATATAATATATATATATACTTTGGCGTTAATTTTCTTGGAAAATTATAACCAGAAGAGGCACTGGTGGGTAAAAAACATGTGGGGGGGATTGAGCAAACTTAGGATTAAAAATTTTGTAGGAATAATGAAATTTTACGTTTTATTGTTATTTGCATGAATAATAACATCGAGATTAATTAGGTGAATTAGCTCCACCCCATCGGATCGTGGAGAAAATCAACGAAAAAGTATAGTATAGATAGACGTGACATATTTACAACACGTTCTAAGAGTATGTGTTTATGATATTTCAACCTCATTTTTGTACAACATAATATATTATGATGTATACATATAGTGCACATAGTATATATAAGCTTAAGAGTGACGTTTTTCCATAGTTTTTAAAACGTCGTGGGTTATCGAGGGAACAGGAGATTAAAAATACGGTAGACATAGTGGCTCAATTGACCTGATTGTAGGGATCCTTGAGCGCGTGGAGCATAGCCGGGTGATTGTACCCGAGGGGCATCGACGATATCTGCATGTAGAGGTCGAGGAGAAGGTTGCCGTCGACGTCGGCCAGGTAATTGCCGGCCGATTTCTCGTAATCGGCGAACAACTGAACCGAACCGGCTTGTTGGATGCCATTGAGCTCGCGGTACAGCTCCAAGGACTGGGGTCCCGGCACCTCGCTGGCAACCAACGGGCCCCTCGGCTCCTCCTCCAGGCCCTGGATCCTCGTGGACAGGCAGCGCGTCTCCCCACCACGACCTGTTGGTCATATATCGGGAAATATATACCGGTCATATATACCGGTCATCGCCAATCGGGAAACAGTGTGTTCCAGGTTTTAAGTTTACAAGATTTCGGTCACAGTTTCGGGTTATTTTTACTTTTGCGTGTACCGTCGTACAAGAATATGTTGATCCAGTACGTGTATTACCCAAGGAGTTGTCAGTATACATTCAAACAAATACAGGATTAAGAAAAATCCTTCTACAAGTTCTCCTAGTGTACCCAATGAGTAAAAATTATTTTATCTCGTTTGATTAACAACGTAGATCAACATGTGTTAGATAGTACGCGCGTACACCTTGTTCGTATCAAAATAAGGCTTCGATGTACGTCCTTTTATTTGTAGTCTTGCTAATGGGCTTGAATATTTTTTAAACGAAGCAACAATTTATTGGAACCAAAAAAATCTTTACTGGAATAGAGTGATCCAGCAAATGTATTCTCGCAAAACAAAACAATATTGTATAGTATAATAAGAACATTTTTTCAGTTACGATAAAAGTTTTGGAAGAAAAAAAAGAAAAAAAAAACAATATTCAAAGAGATTACGTACTTAAAACTTATCGAGTAAATAATTTATTGAATCTAAGACATTTTCTTTCAGAGTATCTAATTAACACCGATACATGAAATAAAATGTAAATATTGAAAAAGTAAAAAATAAGATGATCTATAATATTTAATGTACAATTGCTGTTCACAAAAATGTCGAGTGTTAGTTGTAAAATTTAAGATGAGAGACTCCTCTAATTCATAATTTTATGGTTTTTGTTGTTTGAAGAATTTTTAGTTAAAACGTAGTTTTTCGGCAGAGTCATGAAAAACATTGAAATTCATCCGTAGAAGAAACAATAAAGTTTAAAATTGTATCAATAATCCAAATGTTACGTGAAATAAAAAAAGTTTCACAATACATGAATGTGTACGCGAGAAACTGACGTTATTTACGGCGATGCTGAAAAAATAAGTGCGTCAAAAATTAGAGCTACTCAAATCTGTAAGTTACAATTATCGTATCAGATAAGATAAGAATTTTTTCAGTTACCATGTGCATGCGAATTATATCAATGATGCGTATACTATCATACATGAAGAAATCCAGAAAAAATGCCATTTTTTATGCTCCAAATCGAAAAAAAAATATATATATATTTATATATTCAAGGCACACCTTTGGGATACAGTCTTTCTGTACTCTTAATTAAGTATTTCAACGATAATTTTGCGGTAAGAAATTTTGAACGGGATATTTTTAAAACTGAAAACAAATTATTTTAGCAAAGCATCAATTCGGTTTTTTTTCCTTCGATTTTCCAAGTGTCCAAAAAGATGATCAGTTCGAAAATTATGAGCATTCGGAGTTCTACAATTAATTCAGTAGTTTCATGAAATTCCCCAAACTTTTGAACTTTAAGTGCACGTAATTTAACCCCAACTGTTTTTCTAACGTAAGACACAAAAATTAAAATTTATTAAATCTTCGTTATTTTGTAGAACTTGGTTTTTTTTTTTTTTTTTTTTTTTTTTTTTATTTATTCAATCACCACTTGTCACTCGACACGGGAAGTGTACGCGGGTGCGATATCACGAAGCAGGTCTCTCGAAGCTGGAACAACTGGTGGTGGTCATTAAACGTAACGAGGGAGTAAAACGACCATATGTGAAAATAATGATCAATATGGGTGTGTCACTCGCTTTTGGCTCGACGGCTCGAGCGCGACTGATTGGGTGGTACGGGCCCCGATGATAATAGGTGGGCTCTCTCTTTCTCTCTTTTCTTTGCTGCGCGTGGGAGTGAGATGCCGAGAGCGTTTTTGTTCGCTTCTTCATTATAGTATGGGTGTACGCGAGATGCAGCGTATTTGCCGTGGATACTGTTGTTGATTTTTTTTTTTTTTTTTTTTTTTTGGTTCTNTAGGTATTCATAATTAATTATCACTATTCATGAAATCCATGATTACATTGTTATACTTTGATGGTCGCTTCACTTAGGTTTCATAAGTATCTGTATTTATTTTTTCTGAAAACAAATAGTTCCAGTGTGATAATTATTGTGCTTCAAGCTTTATTTTTTTTTCCTATAAAGTTTTGGAAATTTTTTTTTTTTTTTTTATTACAACGGGCTATTAAATAAATATTTATGAAAAGAATCAAATGAGCGAGTACTTAAAACGAGTCTCTAGTCAGTATTATCCACGACGCCCAGAAGTAAACATCTTGACAGATTTTCAAAAACATAGAGTATAATTTTAGTAATTACTTTACATACGTTGTTCCCGAAGTATCGGTTTCACAGCTTTTCTCGAGATGAATAAAAACAACTCAAACGGTAGGTTTCTGTGTGAGTGTATACTATAACTATACTTACTTGTTTAAAGTGGTACAAAAAATATACGTACATCTGACCAATCCTGAATAGTTTAATAATTTTAACAATAATCTCTCAATACCGTGACACAGTGTAAATTATAAGTATATAGCTAAAATTTATAAGTATAGCTTTTTTCGAACAAAGTGAAGTGAAAAAACAAAGGGTATACATTAGGGCTCATACAATGATGAATTTTGTTTGGGTAAAAGAGACTATCCTGAAGAATTTTTTTTTTTTTTTTTTTCTTTAGTTTAATTAATTGCAAGTATTATGTAGTGGGTTATATTTCTCGCACAAAGATATCAACTCAATTAAATAATCTAAAAAGCTGTATTCGTGTCCCTCTACCTTTTTTTTTTAATTTGTACAACAGCACCGACATAAAACATCATGGAAAATCTGTGTACAATATCTAAAAAAAACTGCAAGAATACTCTTACTTCCAAGATTTTTGTGTTTTTTTTTTTTTTTTTTTTTTTCATTTCACACGATGATAATATTTCACGGATTTTTGGGTTCTGGTTTTAATTTTGTACGTTCATCGACAAGAAGCATAAATAAAATACAATTGGCATGGTTAATGGTTCAAACATTTAAAATGCTGCCAATTTAATATTTTCTTGAAATAAGATTGTGCCTTTTTATTTCGAATGAAAAATACTCCTGATTATAAACAAAAACAAAAAAAAAATAAATATGTATATATGCTTTGTTAAGATAATATGCATTTGGTATTAATTTAATAAATATTTTCTTGAAGCAATTTTTCGTTTCAGTGTATGTATAGGGGTTTTACAAACATTACCTCAGAATCTAGTCAAAAACATCGATCATTTACGTTAAGGTTGGAACTCTATATTTTATACGTTTTTTTCTAGAAGATCAAGTACCATTACTTTAACCCAACGCTAATTTGAAGTAACTAAAGCATATTGTAGCCCACACGAGTTTATACAGGATTAATACAGAATAACTTAATTAAACATTTATACTGCAGGAAGTGAAATTTGTTTAAGCAGCCATTCTCACATTTATATTATCTTCATGAGTTTCGACTCTGGATTCGTGAGGTATTATTTTTAGAAAATCACGTAAAATGCGCCAGGAAGTTTTTTCTTGTGCTTAAAATAGAAAAAAGGAAATTTTCGAGTTTCAAAGGTGCAAGATACTTTGAATATTTTCGATTACTGTTTTAAATGTAGTTGCAATAGTTATTTTGCACAAAATGCGTACCACCAATGTTATTTACAGGATTTAGAAAATATACCAATTGGCTTTTCATCGATCACTTGAATAGCTATACATTTTTTTTTTTTTTTTTCAAAATAATCACCACAAGTTTACTGTAACGTGCTTACGATTTCTGTCAAAATTTTAGCAAGTGTCAAATCTGTAAGTTGTTATACGTTTTATAACCCCCGTGCATTAAATTCGTTCTATTTCTTTAAAATTAATAAGTTTTTCAAACTTGGATTTACAGTACAAATGATATAAAAAGCTTTGTTTTCTTATACATAGAAATAGCTTCGTAATCGTTAAAAAAAGACTACAAAACAGATAAGTACACTGATTAATTCGTCCCAAAAGTAAAACATTAATTACACATGATGATTTTTCTAATCACAAGAATATACGTTTAAATTGAAAAAAAAAAATCACGTCTCGTTTTGGCATTTTTATCTTAAGGAGGTATAGGAGTCACATCACAAGTAATTTTTGACTGCTATTATGAATGTGCTATTTTTATTCCATATCTATTTCTTCGACTGATAAAAACTAGTTTGTTTTCACTAGAGGGTCAAGTACGATGATATTAATTACACATGACGTCAACAAATTTTTTTTCAACTTTCCCAGGTACTTGGTCATTAAATTTGTAGATACCATGCAATATAGAACAGTGAAGAAAATAAAATAAACGTAGGAAACGTGAAACACATAAGTAAACTATTATCTAAAGGTTCCATAATTACAGTGTACATTTGCACCACCCACCACTCATCATTGATGAAAAAAAAAAGTACAAATTGGTACACATTAATTTCTAATTTTCTACTCATTCGTTTCAATGAATAGTGTCGCAAGCTCCGATTTCCAGACGTCTGAGAAAAATAATTAAAACTAAATATTAATTTTTACTGGCTTGTCAACGTAATTCGAATTCAGAGAGTTGACTTTACTGGATTTGCAGTGTGGAAAATGTATTTTTCAATGATTGAATCAGTAATTTTTTCATAATTATATAGTTAAACAGGACAAGCTTACACAAAAACTTATATTCAACGAACAAGTAACTTTATTCCTCAGGCAATATGGATTTATTCATCGTGTGATATCTGAAGACATATCTTGGGTTTCTTTTGCAACGATACATATCACGATTAAATTTTAATCGAAAAATGGTAAAAAAAGAACATTTAATACATATTTGGGGCGTAGTGTATTTAAAACCAAGTGATCAAAATTATGGATATATTGACATGAACATCTAGTTAAATCATTAAGAAGTAATTTAGAAAGGAATTTAGCTAATCTCTGATACAAAAAATTTTTCTGCCACTAATTTTTAAATAAGGATTTATCAAACATTTTTTGTTAGATTTTA